TTATTTACCATATTGTATTGTGATAGTTCTAAAGCTTTATCCTCAGTTGAATAATTACATTGTTTCATCAATTTTAGGTGGCTTATCACCAAAGTTATGACATTTTAAAAAGTTTTTAAGCCAGTTTTGCAAATTATCTTACCAGTTACCATCACTCTGTCCAACTATATAATAAGAAATTCCGCATATGAAAATCCATATTGCTTTAAAAAAATTTTTTAAAAGCTTCTGTTTTATAAAGGATTCCCTATGGAATTCCGTCAAATACTAAGTTCTCCAGCATAAGCTCTTTGAAGTATTTCTTTTTTTTTTTTTTCTTTTTGTCTTTTTTCGTGTCCGGCAACGGATCACAACCCTCAGTGTCGCGCCCGTACCGGGCCGGGGACCGGCAACGGGATCGCAACCCTCGGTGCTGCGCCCGCCCCTCGCTCAGCCAGTGAACGGAACCGGTCTGTATGTGGGATCCGAACCCTTGGCGGGAGCGCCGCCGCGCTCACAAGCGGCGCACTGTAGCAGTGCGCCACCGGGCTGGCCCTGAAGTATTTCTTATAAAGAAAAAGCCTTGCATTGCTCTTTATGCCTGTACTGGCATTAAAGTTTATTCTGTGTTTAGACAGGCCTCTTAATCATTTCTGATCTCTTTGAAATAAGTTAGGTTATTTCTGCATTCTCCTCTTGATTGCGTTTTCCTCTTTACATTTCTGCTTTGTTTTTCTAGACAAGTTTATTCTTTTCTTAGCCTTGTTTTGTTATACCTGTAATCTCCCTGGCAATCTACTCAGATTAAAGAATGTCTTCAAATTAAATCTCTAATATGAAAATGTTTCAGTGTCATTTTTCTGTAACTGCCAAGGTGTTAAGTTTGGAAATCACCCCATCTAGGAAGAATTGATTACTTTTTCTTGTGTCTTGATAACAGTAGTTGGGCTCAGAGAATAGGTCATAATGCCTCACTGTGACATTGTTCTAAGTATCATAATTTTTAACCCTGATTTTCCCTTATTGTGTCAGTAAGGGCATTTTTTTTTTTTTTTAAATCAAACAGCTTTTCAAAATGAGTAGGAATTTTGCTGCAAATGATACCATCAAGAAAATAAAAAGACAACCTAAAGAACAGGAGAAAATATCTATAAATAGTATATCTAATAAGGGACATTTATTAAGAACTCTTACAGCTCAACAATAAAAAGACAACCCAATTAAAAAATGGGCAAAAGTTCTGAATAGACATTTCTCCAAGGAACATACACAAGTAGTCAGTGAACACATGAAAAGATGTTCAACATCATTAATCAGTAGGGAAATACAAGTCAAAACCACAATGAGATGTGATTTCACATCTACTTAGGGTGGTTGTAATAAAAAAAGGCAGACAATAAGTGTTGACTGGGATATGGAGAAATTGGAACTCCCTTCAAACATTGCTGGTGGAAATGTAAAATGTAACCACTTTGAAAAACAGTCTAGCAGTTCCTCAAAATGTTAAACATAGAGTTACCAGTGGGGGGGAGGGAGTGTGTGTGTGTGTGGGGGGGGAATATGTGTGAGGGGGACAGTTCCTCAAAATGTTAAACATAGAGTTACCAGTGGGGGGGAGGGAGTGTGTGTGTGTGTGTGGGGGGGGAATATGTGTGAGGGGGAGTGTGTGTGTGTGTGTGTGTGTCCCTAACAATTAAAAATAAATGTTCACACAAAAATTTGTTCACAGTTGGAATTAAGAAATTATTTTTTACAGTAATATTAATTTCCATTGTTGACACAATGTATTACTGTCTCATGGTATTATGTTCTATGTTAATGTCGTGTTCATGTACAGTATGTCTACGTGACATTTCTGTTGCTGTATATTCTTTATTAACGTTTACTAGAAAAGATTGTTCAAATTACAGCTATAATTTTTAAAGGATTATTATATTATGTATGTAATTTTTAATCATATTTTGACCTTAATGTAGAAATCTTATAAATCTACTCAGTTCCCTTCAATTTGTTAATGTAAGTGTGGTGAAGAGAAAAGCCTAGCATTTTGTTCTGTGGCCTAATATAAAGTTATTTATGTCAAATCCCTAAGTATTTATTTTATCTCAAAAGTTTGAGTATATCTCCATCAAATTAGGATATTATTTAAAGAAAATTATTTAAGGTAAATAAACTTAAAATATTTTCACAACCACATAAATATTTCTTATCTAGATTAGTTAATGCTACATGAGAGGTAAATATTTTAAGTTGCTGTCTAATATGGATTTTTCATTCTTAGTCTTTACTTTGCATAACTTAAATTCAAGCTTTTGTAGTTTTTACTTCTTTAAGGAGGTATTGAAAATTCATAGTAAATGAATGATAAAAGTTTATCTTAATTTTTTGTATGTTTATACTAGATCATGCTTTACGATTGTGGAATATCCAAACGGACACTCTGGTGGCAATATTTGGAGGTGTGGAAGGGCACAGAGATGAAGTTCTGAGTGCTGTAAGTTGAAAGCTGCAGGGCAGTGACCTTCAGGTTTACATAGCTGTGAACAATCCCCATGGAACTCTTTCCTTATAAGAAAACATGTTTGTTTCAGATAGCCTGCCAGGCTGTCATTTCACTTATGTTTGATGTACGAGATTTTAACCTTAAAGTGGAAGGAATAAAGTAAATCAAGGTTTGTTTTTGTTTTTTTTAAATTACCTGCACTTTATCTATACCAAAGCCTAGATTCTCATGAAAGAATGCTATGAACTTGTTCCTCTCCTTTTAATCTAAAATCACCAAGTTAATGTTTGTTTTGCTGGTTCTCAGTTATTAAAGGAAAAAAAATAAACTAGTTGGTCATTAAGAAACACTTTGATCTTTTCTTTGAAGTCAAATAGTTAATCACTTTTAGGAAATATTGTGGTCACACTGAGTTTCAGCTCTTTGGGTGGCATATTATTATACAAGACTATTGATTATTTTTAACGATAATCAGATATTTATATTGATGTAGTATAGTCCATTAATCTGTTACGTATGATACAAATGTTTTTAATCAGGTTTCAG